GGCGTGCGGGACCTTCATCACCATGCAGGGAGGTTACGGGGGTGGTTATGGCTATGGCTACCAGCGCCTTTGCTGAATGGTTCTTGCAACAGGTTCTGACATTGCCACAAGGGTCATGGCACCTCGTTGACCCTTGATGAAGCAGTCGCTTTGTAGCTACGATGCTTTGCCTTCAAGCCCAGTTGGTGCAAGGCACCGATGTGGAATGAAAAACTAGCGGAAAGTGTGCTATGTGTCTGAGGCAAGGTTATGGTTACGACCCCAATATGATGTACCAGCAGCAGCAGATGTGGCAGCAGCAGCAGGCCTACATGGCCCAGCAGAGTCTTGGCAGCATTGGGCATGAGGCGAGGGGATGTCAAGACCGCGTTTCTCACCCTGCCACTGCCCGTAAGGGAGCCTTAACTGGCAAGATGCGCATCTGAAAAGGTATTCGGTATTCCGTAACAAACATGCCATGCTGCACAGCAGTCTGTTCTGTGCTGCCCCTCGCAAGCGTAGCAGACCGCATTGTTTTCTTTCCATTCAAACATGTTTTTTGAATCGCATCGCATCATTACGGGAACAAGACGACCTCCGGGCAACGTCTGATGGTCCTTCCTGCTCAAGGTTTCTCACAGCGCCACGCAAGTGTTTGTGGTGCACTTGACTTAAAATTTAACTCGTGTACTGTATACAGAGCCTGGAGCCCGGAGACACCCCCACACCCCGGGATCGATAGTGGGGAGCATGGAGCATGATAGTGAGCCGACGGAGCTTTCGCAGCAGGACACGGAATCTTGACGCTAGAAGGTCGCCACGAAGGTCCCCCGTTGGTTTGCTTTGGATAACGTAGACTCGGCGACAAAGGGGGGCACTACCGAGGCCAGACCAGTACAACGGGATGACAAAGACTCGGCCCACTCAGAACCTCATGCAAGCTTTTGTCCAAGCAGCAGATACGGTTTTCGGCAGCATCTCACGAATCTTCACAGCAGGAGCCTTCGAACAAAGGAAGGGGTGACATCTGATGTCGCGTACCGGCCAAGATAATCCTTCGCTGCAAGAGGTCTTCGTGCTCGTTGGAATACAACCGCAGCGAAAACTCGTAAACTTGAGCGATTTCGAATGCTGGTCGTTCAAACCTTCTCAACTTCCACTTCTATGGTGGCAGTGCGGTGGGGCAGGAAATGGCACAAGACGAAGGTGAATGTTTCGAGATGTTGCGAGTTTCGAACTCAGAAGAAGTCGGAGGCAAGACGACTTGTGTTAGTGTGTGTGTGTGTGTGTGCGCAGCAGCTTTCCTCTGTAGCAGAGTTTGGTTTTCAGATAGTGTGTGCGAGCCACGGGCGCGCACTACCGGTTTGAGACATGTTTTCCGCAAGAACCTCCGTCGATTTTGAAGCCTCTGCTTGTGCCACACAGACAAAGACAAGGAGGTCTTTTTCGTATTTGTTTGGCACACATTTTTACGCAGCGCAAGAGGCGGCGGTTTCAGCCCAGTACCAAGAAAATTCGCAAGGATTAAAAATTCGCAAGGATTGCGGTCCCACCTTCCCCACATTCTGGCTCACATCATAATTCGACAATATCCGCATGTTTAGGATCATGCGGCGAGGAGTACGTCTGCCTTATGCATAACGAAATCGTTGTGCTTCGAATTGCGGCGAGATTTCCTCTGTCAAAACCGGTTCTAATATCTGCCTAGCCAGTAGCCGCAGTAGCCGAGGCAGGGCTACGGGCAAGGCTTTGGCCCCCAAGGCCAAGGCGGCCAAGGCGGCCAAGGCTTCATGGGCCAAAAGGGGCAAGCAGGCCAAGGCCAAGGCCAAGAGCCGCAAGGACAGCCAGGACAGCCAGGGCCTCAAGGCCAGAGCCAAGGAGCCACCTTTGAGGAGCTTTGCTGTAGTCATGGGAGTATGCGGCGATCTTATGCAGGCTTCGGAAAGTCTGGAGGCAAGAGCGGTGGCGGAGGCAAGAACAGTGGGGGCTCCTCAGGACTCGGAGGAGCAAGCGCGCCTTATTTGCACGGCAGTCTTGGTCGACGCGCTGCCCAGAATTTGCTCTACCCAAGCTCCGACTCAACAAGGAACGGAGCAAAGGAGGTGGAAAGCCGGCGAAGAGCCAGCCCACTGCCGCCCGAAAGCAAGTGCCGCGTTTGTCTTTTCTCCGTGTGTTCAGGCATTTGAGTGAATCCTTCCCCTCAAAAGGAGATGACCCTCGAGGAGTATCAGGCCGAACAGAAGAGAAAGGCTGCCGAAAAGAAGGAAAAAATGCTGAAGCAGCAGGCGGGTGAGCATTTAGAGCAGAGGGTTACATTTTCACTTCTTCTGCCCTTCATGCAAGAGTCGCAATCAAAGATAATGCAGGAGGAGGCACGGGCTGCTGCCAAAGCGCGCGCGGAGGCCTTCGAAAGGGGCGAGCTGCCCGAGGAGCCGAAGGAAGAGCCCAAGCCAGAGCCCAAGAGCCAGGAGCCTCCGGCGGCTCCGGCACCAGCGGCCAAATCAGAGCCGGAGGTCGAGAAACCGACGCCCACAGAGCCAGAGGACGACTGGGAGGCGGAAGCTGAAAAGGAAGAAGCTCCTGCCCCCGCTCCCGCGCCGCCTTCAAAGAAGGAGATAGCAGAACCGAGCAAGGTCCCGAAAGCGGCTCCGGCGCCGCAGCCGCAAGAGGCACAGGCACAAGAGGAGGAGCCGGAGGAGGTATCGGCAGAGCCTGCTGAAGTCAAAGCAGACGGAAAGGATGCGGATCGCAAGGTACCAGATCCTCGTCCCCACCTCAACGTGGTCTTTATAGGCCACGTCGATGCTGGCAAATCTACGACCTGCGGGAACATCCTTTTCCTGTGTGGGATGGTGGATGAGCGAACCATCGAGAAGTACAAGCAGGAGGCCGCCAACAAGGCTGGTGAGAGCTGGTTCTTGGCCTTCATCATGGATACGAGCGAGGAGGAGAAAGTCAAGGGCAAGACTGTCGAGGTGGGCCGGGCAGCGTTCGAGACGACGAATCGTCGCTTCACAATCCTGGATGCTCCCGGCCACAAGTCCTATGTTCCCAACATGATCGCAGGAGCATCTGCAGCCGATGTTGGTGTGCTATTGGTTTCTGCTAGAAAAGGCGAGTTCGAGACAGGCTTTGAGAAGGGAGGACAAACTTGCGAGCATGCCTTGCTTGCAAAAACTCTCGGAGTCGAGAAGCTTGTCATTGCAATCAACAAGATGGATGACCCCACGGTGGAATGGGACGAGAAGAGGTACAATGACATTGTGAAAAAGATAGGGGCTTTTCTCAAAAAGAGTGGCTACAAGGACGACCAAGTCATTTTCCTTCCCATGTCGGGGTTGATGGGGGACAACATCAAGGAAAGGAAAGGCACGCCTGCCTGGTACACCGGCTTGACATTGCTTGTCTCACTGGATGGCATATCTGTCGCCGGTCGAAAAGCCGACGGTCCACTGCGAATTCCAATGATGGAAGGCTACAAAGACATGGGTGCAGTCACTGCCATCGGGAAGATAGAGCAGGGCACGGTCAGGCCTGGGATGAAGTGTGTCGTGATGCCAACCAACAACAAGTGTCAAGTGACAGCCGTTTACATCAATGATGTAGAGATGCAGTATGCAACGTGTGGTGAGAACGTTACCTTAAAGATGTCGGGGATCGGCGATGAGGAGCTGAAGAAGGGCTACGTAATGTGCGCAGACAAGGTTCCCATCCCAGTCGTTTCCAAGTTCAAGGCGACTATTCATGTAATTGAGCTAGGGCCGGACAGACCGGTGATGACTTCAGGGTATGTTGCTGTCATGCATGCACACACCACAAGTGAAGAATGTGAAATTCTCAAGCTGTACGAGACCATGGTTATTCAGACCAAGAAGAAGGAGAAGAACCCACAGTTCGCCAGACCGGATTCGGTAGTGGTCTGCAGCATCAAGCTTGCACGACCGACGTCTCTGGACACGTTCACATCTTCTCCACAGCTCGGCCGGTTCACTCTTCGAGTAGACGGACGAACGATTGCAATTGGAAAGATAACTGAGCTGCCAAAGTCTGCAGGGGATGCCTGAACTGCTCGTGAGACTGGTGTTTTCGATTGCCAGCACGTAGGTTTTATTACTGATTACTGATCGGGAATTGCAGAGATCAAGGGATGTATGCAAAAGCACAGAAGCAACATCTCATCAGCAAAGTCATCAAACTGACCAGGGCCGAAGCGGCAACTCGTATGCATGCTCAAGCATGCGTACACGGAAAAGCAATAGCAGATGCTGGCACCTTCTAGCGACGGGGCCTACTGATCTAAGCATTCTGTGTGGGACCTGAGGAACAGTGATGTTAGATTTGAAGGGCTTCTCTCATTGCTCTTTGGTCCCACATCGCTCATTAGCAAAGCTTCTGTGATGCCCGCATTTCCGCAATGCTGTAAATGCAGGGCCCAGAAGCTTGGAACTGGCGCAGACCATTAGCCGCCAGACGCCAGTTTTGCATGCGGACAGAAAAAGCAATAAAAAGCACGGTAGCATGTGACCATACGCGACTGACTGGTCAGTGCGTATCCCCTCTGTGAAACTCTCTGTGGTGTTGCATTGATGCATGGTGTCTCGATCATCAAGGCCGTTGGCACAGTGCGAGTCTTCAAGAAGGTGCATTAGGCCGCAAGAGCAGTAGTCTGGCAGTGCTGGGCTCGACAGGTCAGCGCCGAGGAACAGTCTTGCAGAGCCAACACACTTTAGAGAAGGAATTTCCCGTCAGTGGCACTGCATCCAAGTGTGGGCCTACCATGAACCGGTACAAGGCAATTGGAGCGACTGATCCGCAATTGATGCAGGCATGAAGATCGCGTGCAGGTCACCAAAGTTCTCGGCGATGGCACGTACGGATCTGTCCTGCGAGCCCAAAACAAGCAGACCGGTGAGGTCCGCCTCTCTTGCTGCAAATGTTGAGCAGTGAAGTCGTAGTGGTACTGTTATTGTTTCTGAGATGATCGTATCTTGACAGTGGTTCAGGTCGTAGCTATAAAGAAGATGAAGCAAAAGAGACCGAGTGGCATTAGTGACATATTCTGCCCTTTTGTTTCTGTTGGTGGATCTTTTGGTGTATGGCACGAGTCAATCACAGGATGTATAGCTGGGACGAGTGCATGAAGCTGCGGGAAATCCAATCCCTCAGGCAGGTGGATGCCAGGTTAATGCCCTGTGAATGCAGCATCCCAGACGTTCTGCTAGGCAGCTCATTCACCCCAACATTGTCAAACTAAAAGAAGTGATCAGAGAAAATGACGAGCTCCACATGGTTTTTGAGATGATGGAGGCCTCCGAACTGTGCTGCTGCCGTCCCGCCGCCGGCCACTAGGGGTCTCAAAGTCCAGCCGTGCACTGCTGCAGGCTAACTTGTACGAGTTCATGAAATCCCGGGTGCGCTCCTTGCCCGAGTCGAAGATCCGAAACATAATGTTTCAGACCATGCAGGCACGGAATGCGTGAAACATATGAGTGGAGGGTGTGGACTGAAACTTTTGCGTGGACCCGTCCAGGGATTGCACTTCGTGCACAAAACTGGATACTTCCACAGGGATATGAGCCTTGGCTTTCAAGATGTGGTTCTGGAATCTGTTGGCAGGCAACACTCGGGTAACCACAAATCCGTCATTCGCTTTTCTGATGCCTGAGGAAGCCAGAGAATGTGTTGATTTCCGGCGACACGGTGCGCTGTACCTTTCATCCTGCCTGCCTCTCTTTCTCTCTCTCTCTGAGCTGTCTTTTTTTGGTTTGCAAGAGGTGAAGCTGGCCGATTTCGGGCTGGCGCGGCAGATTCGAGCTCGTCCACCGTTCACAGACTATGTCTCGACACGATGGTACCGAGCTCCAGAGGCTTCGTTTTGAGACTGCCCTTCTTGCAAGAAGGGCGCGTTTGTTAACCTCTGGCGGTGACGGCACCTGCAGGTTTTGTTGCGAAGCCGGCGCCTTAGGCTATAGGCTTTCCAATGTCATGTGTTCCGCAAACTCTGGGCAAACTCTCTCTCTCTCTCTCTCTCTGCTGCCCCTCCCTCACGCAAACCCCGTCTGGAACAAGGTTCTACCTACAACTCGCCCATTGATCTTTGGGCGTGCGGCGGCATCATGGCCGAACTGTACACACTACGACCCTTATTTCCGGGGTCATCAGAATCAGACGAGCTCTACAAGAGCCTCAGCTTCTGGAATATGACCTACCTACAGACGTCTTTGCGGCTGGAGTTGAAGCGATGTTTGAGGGCTTGAATGCCGTTTCTGCACGAAGTCAGTATGGGATGATCATGGGATGTGACCAGCAAGTTAGGATATGCTCGGTTCTTGGGACACCAACAGCAGCGAGCTGGCCGGATGGCTTCAAGCTTGCATCGCAGTTGCTTGGCAAGCAGAAGAAAAATCGCGGCAGATACCGGGTACTCCGTGTTTTTTCAGGATAAACTATCGATTCCCACAGTTCGTCCCAACGAAGCTCGAGACTTTGGTGCCTCAGTCCAATTCTGATGGCATTAACATCATGCTGGCGCCGGTCTCAGCTTGCCTGAGGATGCTTACGTATTCACAGACGTGCCGAATCCCGAGGCCATGATGAGTTGGGATCCTGCAAAAAGACCTTCGACTGCGCAAGTTTTGAAACATCCCTATTTCGAAGTGGCGCTGAACGAGTCCGGGCCTAGGCCCATGCTGGATCCACCCAGCCCTCATCTGACTCTGTTTTGCGAAGGTCCCAGCAGACTCCTGCCTCTCAGCTTCCTCATCTGCCAGACAGGGGCTTAGTTCCTCAGCTCATGGTAAAAAGATCGTTCTACATGGCCAAGCCCATCGCAAGGCGGGCGGTTCACAGGAGCCAGCGCCAGCTCGCGCCCCGATGCCTTCGTCGAAGCCTCCTGCACCGCTTGCTGCGCAGGCTCGTCTAGGTCGAAGCGGCTGTAAGCTGGAAGCTGCAGAATCAGAGCATCAGTGGAATTGTTGCATTCGAGCTCAGCCGACTTAGTCTACTGGTAGGCAAGCCAGTGTGCCTGAATGCGGTCGCATGTGGGGAAGACAGCACGTTGCGTCGCAGTCGCTTCGCAGGTTGGCCAGGTGACATCCAATGGATTTTCCGGCACCATCCTCAGGTCGATTCTTCCGCAGGCAATCCTGTTTAGATCGCTTGATGTGCTGGGCCCTTCAATCCTCATACTTGTTCGACTCCCTCTCTCCCCTGCCTCTCGCCATCATGCCACTATCAGAATGCCGTTGGGATGTTTGGCCTGTCAACTGTGAACAAAGCCCTGCTTTGCAGTTTCATGCCTTGCGCCTAACAGTTCCTACCAGTTGCATTGCCTAGTTAAGTCGTCGGTTGGAGCGTCGGCAACCGAAGATTTGCTTGTCCACTCTTTCGATGAACCCTCATCGAACGATTTTCGTGTGCTGCATCTACACTCCATGCCGCCACGTCTACGTGCGGGCCGCATCATGAAACGATGAGCCTCAGCGTCGGACTTCTTGCGGTGTAGTTTTGGGCTTGAGGCACGCGAGGAAGTTGGAAAGGAGATGTGCCTTGGCGCAGGAATGTGGCACACGCAGAGAGTCTCGAAGTGTTGAAAATGTCTTGAAGTGTGAAGAGCTGTGGCACAAAGAGTCTTTTCAGGGCAGCCATCCCAGCACGGGCAGACACTCCGGCAAGGCCGGGACGGAGCCGAAGCCTTTGCCTTCGGTCTTCGCGGTCATCGCCACTTCGCTCCCAGGAGAACGCGAATGGCTCCAAGGGCTTTAACTTGCCACCCCTGAGGCCTGAGGACGCTGTGTGAGTACATCCCAGCTTCGGTTTTTGGATTTCCTTCCGCAGGGGTGAAGGCCACAGCTCCAGCGCGAAGAAAAGCAAGCTCGGCTGTGCATTTATTTTCTCGTTTGATTGACTGATACATACAGCAGTCCTTTTGCAGTAGCGAAAGTGCTGCCAGGCCCTGGCGCCCGCTATTTGAAGATGGCACGCTACCAGCCAGGTCATTATTTGCTGAATTGCGAGTGGGACAAGGATTAAGGCCTTGGCTGATCCGTGGAAGGCATGCAGCAACCGCTGGTGCCGCCGCAGTTGCCGGCACCACACGGGGGCATTGGGGCGGCACTTCCCCCGATCATGCGCAAGGATCCTGTAGGGCCCTAAGCCCTAAGCCTGGTCATGGGGCGCGAGTTTTCAGCCAAGTCAGTGCTTGTTTAGTCAGCTCCTCTGCATTGCTGAGGCATTGCCGGAAAACGGCGGCAAGCAGAGTTACTTCGGGGCACATGCTGCCCGAATGCTCGGATGAGGTGACGCGCATAGTCTATCGTGTGTTGTGGCACGTTACTAGTAGCGCGGCATCGCTGACAGCAATGTCCGCTCCTGTGCAGGATGTGGAGTGGTGCATGGAGTCGTTTCACTGCCATGCTGCCAGTGCCTGCAAATTTGGGCGCTTTGGCTCATGGCAGTTCGTTTTCGTGGCGAGATCCATGCCCTTCGTCTCACTCGAGGGCCCTGCATAAGACTCTGTACTGTGTTGTTCTACTAGATGTGGCAAGCCAACATTGAATATTCAGACCTCATTGGTGAGAAAGGCATTGCTGATGGACCCGGACCCAGCTCATGTCGTGAATCAACCCGCATCAGCTGCATGGATGCCATGCAACTTGTACAGCCATGGCAATCAGCCAGCTTGGGCGGAAGTTCTGTTTGTACACACGCCTAAAATTAGGCGAATTCAAGCTTGGCCGAACCAAAAGAAACGTAAAGCGATTGTCGGTGTCCAACCCAGTCGCAACAGAACCCCTGATGTTTCCGCTTGACCGGACAGGAAAGATTGTCTTCTGCAGCATTCCGCTGCAACAAGCGTCAGCGACACACAGAACCGGCTACTGCACAACCGGAAGTGCAATTCCGTGTTGATGTAGCATGAGATAGAGCAGGTGGTTAGGTGCTCGATGAAAGCTGCATCTGTAGCTGGCAGGCAACCAACAACAGCACACTAAGTCCATAGAGCCGAGCTCGAACGATGATCGCCGAGAGTCGAATGGACGACTCGAGGTGAGCTGTCAACGACTGCAGGCAGTTTGGTCAATTCAGAACTGCGCGGTTCCGGCGCGCAGGATCCTATCATGCAGACCGGAACGCTTCTGTCAGTGCAGCCTCGTGCTCTCCTTGTGACAGGACCAGACGGTGCTCGGGGTTGCTGTATTTGCAGTTAGTAGGCTTCTGAACGCTCAGTGCTGTTCAGGAGTGTGTTTTGCGCTCTACTTTGGCATGAGTCCCAGTGACGCCGTGCAACGGACGCGAAGTGTTGCGAAATTGAAAGCCCATGTGGGACTTCTTCTGGCTGCACTTCCGCATAGTCTGTCTTCCCTGCTGGAAAACTTGCCTTGGAACCCCTGTCCTTCTGTTTCCTTCTGGTATTCGGTGGAACATGCCAAGACGAAGGTTTGAGATTTGTTGCGAGTAAATCTGCATCCAGGCCTTTGGCAGCGGACTTCCTTCCTCGCCAGGCCTGCCAGGCATCATCTCTTGACATTCGGGTCACACGATGGCGACACATGCGGGCAACGCTTTACAATCTCCATAGTCTCCAATCCGCCGCATCCTTTGGCAATCAACAGTCTCTACGAGAAGGTGGAGTGACACAAGAAGAATCAGGAGGGTACCGTTGCAATGTGGCACTCCCAGCCGGTTCATCTTCAAAGGTTACTCGCTCGACTGTCGAGCAGCGGTTCTTTGCTCAGGTTCGGGAACACGGGATTCCGATGGCCTGAACATGGCGAAACTGGACGAGTTGGCGCATAGATTCAACGACAGGCCCATGGGAGGAATGGATGCCGAAGCGTGGGACTCACGCAGCACAGGTACATCACCCCCGGACTGCTAAAAGGTGCGCTGGTTGCTGTCGTGAGGAGGGGCAAGGCCTGGACACTGCAGTCTTCCACGCCAAGTTTGCATACAGTATGCAGTGTGAGGATGGGTGGAGACATGATTGTTTGCCCGTGTGTCCCGTAACCGATTTTGTTTGTGTGTGGGTGTGTATGGGTGTGAGAGACTGTGCTTTCGTGTGCTGCAGTTGCTTCAGACATGTTTTCAGCAAGCAAGCTACTGAAGTCACAAGATGCCTGCGCATGGGGTCGTCTGTATGATGCATCTTACAAACGAGCCGAAGATTGAAGTAGTGTTGGCCGATGTTAGTTTCTTTGCTGTGCTCTTGCATCTCGTATACTCTTCTGAGGCCGTTT